TACTTTCATGGAAATAATCATATTTCATTTGTGATGTTTGGGATTTATTTTAAAACAGCTTTTACAGTTATACTACATTTAGTATAACTGCAATAAATACATGGGAAAGTGGTTACAAGAACATATAAGTAGTCTCCTTTTTCTTTAGCTAGAAACATGTTTTCATTAGCCAGAAATGTATTTTCAGCTGTCATTTTCCTGAATCCAAACTTTAGAAAACTTGCCATACATTTCCCCCAAAGTATGTGCATAAAATACCAAATCATTTAATAATAAGCCTCTAGATTTAACTACCAATTCATAGGAAATATAAGAGCTAAAAGAACAGGTTAAATGGCATCACCATCCAGAATGTGGGACATTACCCAGTTTAACAAAGGAATAATAATAGGGAGGGGAAGATAGGTAAATGTTTTAGATTAAAAGAGATCTATAAACCAAATGCAATATGTGGACCTTGTTTATGTTCTAATCTGAGCAAACCAACTATAAAAAGATACTTTTGAGACAGTTGGAGAAATTTGTTGACTATTTGATGACATTTTAAAATTATCAATGTTGATAGGCATATTAAAGGTGTTTGTGAGGTTTTAAGAATTAGTTTTTATTCGTTAGGGATTTATACTAAAATAATAGCTGAGATTTTATTTGAAATACTCTATGAAGAAAGAAATTTGGAAGTAATAGATAAGAATGGTAGAATATTGTTAATTGTTAAAGTTGTATGATGTAGGTTTGCGGTTTTCCATAGTAAAAAGTTAAATCTCTCTCTCTCTCTCTCTCTCTCTCTCTCTCTCTCTCTCTCTCTCTCACACACACACACACAGACACACACACACACAATGAAAAGGGAAAAAAAAAAAGATCATCATTGTAATTGTAATAGGAAGCAAAACCATATTCACTTCAGGGTAGCAGTTTAGTTTCAGCCAACAATGGCATGCTGTAAGTACATACTGTGTTAAATTTGGGAGATGGAGAGAAAGGCTTTTCTTTTCCTTTCCTTTCTTTTCTCTCTCTTTTTTTGTGTGTGTCTCTCTCTTTCATCTCACTCTGTTGCTCGGCACTTCTCTCTCTCTCTCTCTCTCTCTTTTACAGGGTCTCACTCTGTTGCTCAGGCTGGAGTACAGTAGTAAGATCACAGCTCACTACACCCTCAACCTCCTGTGTTGAAGTGATCCTCCCACTTCAGCCTCCCTAGTAGCTGGGACGACAGGCATGTGTGCCACCACAGCCAGCTGACTTTGATATTTTGTAGAGACAGGGTTTCACCATGTGGCCCAAACTGGTCTTGAACTCCTGGACTCTGGCCATCCATCCGTCTCTCACTCCCAAAGTGCTGGGACTACAGGCATGGGCCACTGCACCTGGCCAGGAAAGGCATTTCTAATTCAGCCTTACCTAACCTACAACTCACTGCCCCCTTTTCTCCTACTTAATACCATAAAATTGTAGGTGATAATGCATTATCTGAAAAGAATGATGAACTTGTAATGGAGCAGAAGGACCTAGTGTTTGCAATGAAACACACGTGTCTGCCTTCAGCTTTAGTCTCCCTCCTATGCTCTTTGTGGCATTCCTCTGGGACTGCCATACTAGTTGTATGGCATTTCCTCATAGCCAGAACTTTTGAGTTTATATATTATTCTTTGATAAAATGCCTATTTTACAACAGGACATTCTTTTTTTACTTTTCATTGGTTTTGTTCTATAAAAGTGAATACTCTTAGTGAATACATTAATCCCTTTACATACATAATTCTATATGCCATAATCTACCTTCTGGGAATTTTTTCTTTTCTGAGACTCTGATTTCATATTATTTTTCCTGTAGAGAGTAGCCTGGATCCAATCAGAACATGGAACTATACACAGTGGTATTTTGACACTTGTCCATCTCTTAGCAAAGAAAACGTTTGTAAAATAAGTGAATGTTGAAAGCAGTTTCTTCAGTGGACCTGCTTTTCTAAGTTGGAACATTGGTTTTCATACTGTGAAGCCTTGGCTGAGATGACCTAGAAAGGAACCCTCACAAATCTGCAATTTAGAACAAATGCCCTCTTTCTGAATTCTCTAGTATTACTCTACCATAGCAAATTTAAGAATAAGCTAAACAATTTCTAAGATCCAACTTCAGCTATAATTGAAATTATTAAGGCACCCTACATAAAAGTAGTTATTTTTCATTTGAACATACTTATATAATCTATTTTATCAGCATATCTAATAATCTGTTATATTGACTAAATTTTGAATTCTCAAAAGAGCTGGAGTCATTTCTGTCAATGTAACTCTACATGGCCTCTGTCATAATAATGTGAAAGTATAAAGATGCTTGCTAAATATATCTTAATTAAACCTGACTTGTCTCATCTCCTAAACCTAGGACTTTAAACCCAGAACTTTGGTTGATATAGGAGAAGGTTTAAGTACAAAAAAAAAATGTGAATAAGATGATTGTGAAAAGTACTACTACTAAGAGCATTTTTTAAAATTATGAAAAGTACCATAATATAGTCATAAATGCTGGATAGTGGCCAGGTGCAGTGGCTCACACCTGTAATCCCAGCACTTTGGGAGACCAAGGCAGGTGGATTGCTTGTGCTCAGGAGTTCAAGACTAGCCTAGGCAACATGGCAAAACCCCGTCTCTACCAAAAAAATACATGTTTTTTAATATATAAAAATATATATACTAAATATATAAATTTATAGAAAATATATAAATATATTAATATATATTAAAATGTATAATTTCTTCTATATAAGAAAGTTGAATAGCTATTGGTAAAAATAATAGTTGTTCCTCTTTATTAAGTACTATTTGTCAAGCACTTCACTAAGCACTGTATTTACAGTCATACAGTGTGGAAGTATGCTAAATTTACGTACTACAGAGTTCAGTGGGGGTGTTTGAAAAATATAAATGCTAGAAGAGTAATGTTTAATAGTCTGTATAATCTTTGACACTGGGGAAATAGATCATTTTCTTGAAGTAGTTGGAAGTATTGTAAAGAAGTCATGTTTTCTATCACATGTTATTAAAATTACCTATCATGTGATGAAATTAGTATAACCTCTCATCATGATGGCCAAGCTCTGTGACCCTTTATTGGAGTGGTTTTTATTCTAATTCTTAACAAGTTTGCTATCTGAATTCATTTGACATATTATAAAATTGTTGACAAGGAAATGTAGTTTTGACACTTCAGAAGAGATATTTTCTACTTTATAAAATTAAGTTCCTACATGTGAAATTTGAGAAGCCACCAAAGTGAATGTTCTATTATTCATTTGAAGCTCTTAATTGTATGAACACTTTTATGTCATTTAGAGGCAACCAGTATTAATATTTCAAATTCAGTTTTATTTATATTATCAATATTAGCAACCAAACTGAATAAAGGGCCATTAAAGTAATATATAGGAATTAAAAATTTTGTATAGAAGAAAAATTTAAAACCCTCTTGGTTTAAAATAAAATATTAATCTAATAAGACAGAGGTGCCACTTTATGGTGTTTTTAAGGTTTTTCCTAAAACTATCACATCATTAATAACTTCCCCCATACTCCAGTAATACACAGTTTTTTTCCATCATCTCTCTAATAACCTAGAGCAAACTTCCAGTTGTTCTTAGTAATATGAGTAGAATGGTAAAGCCCAGAAAATCCAGTAAAAGATATTATAACTGAGTTTTTCTCACCAAATTTTTAACTAAAGCTCCTATTGACAGGTAAACAAATTTGAACTGACTACCTTTTGCTTTCCATGATAACATGCAGGTGAATATGCAAATAAGTGGTAAAAGGCCAATGAAGCAGTAAAAAGAAATAGACAAAGTATTTAATCAACAAACTAAAGAATTCGTGTCTGAGTATTTTTCTATTCCCCTACCCTCCCTTATGAACTTATTGTTGGCAGTAACTATCTCTTTCTTCCTTAAATGGCAGATGCATCAGCTGGAGTAGTTCATTTAAGCCAGTATAGGTGATTTAGGCTGGCAACCTAAAATAGCTGCCATGAAATGTTGTCATTAGTTTGCTACCTGCAGGGAAAACAAAATGAAACAGGAATATACAAAAGGAGGTAAGAGTCTCTCCTACCTTACATAAACCTTATGATTGAGGGTAGGGAGCAAACCTTTAAAAAAAGAATTTATTTAGAGACAGGGTTTTGCCATGTTGGCCAAGCTGGTCTTGAACCCCTGGGCTCAAGTGATCCTCTCACTTTGGCCTCCCAAAATGCTGGCATTACAGCCATGTATCTACTCCCAGCCATGACACTACTCTCAGCTGAAAATTTTTAAAATGTATTGTTAGTCCCTGATTTGGGACCAAAAAGCTCACTTTTTAGTCTGAGATTTTGCAGAAATAGTAGTGTCTTGTAAAAAAATGTAAAACATGCACACCAATAGCCAGCCTAAAACTGCTTGTTACCAACCCAAGCTAGTAATTAGAAATTCCAAAATCTGGAAATAAAAGCAAGATTAATTAAAGTACTTGAATTGTTACCCATGGTGTGTGTGTGTGTGTGTGTGTTTAGCAACCACATGGCAATGTATTCAGCATTATTTGACAAATAAGGATGAGGAATTTTGAATGGAAATGAGGATAATAAATTTCTCATGTACCTTTAAAAATGTATCTTTTAAATGAACTCTGAGAGAATACTAAAAGTTTAATTGTAGTTTTTTATTATATTTTGCTTTTTGTACTAAAAACTGCCAAGCAGATAACATATAAATGTAGCTTTTTCAGTATGACAAAGTTACATAAGAAGACTTCCCCTTGCACGTAAAGAAAAATGCAATTATTTTCCATTCTGAATCTCCAGACTGCTGTTTTAGAAAATCATATCTGATTATTTGCTCAGCAGAAGATTATTGAGTTGATTTAGCTGTGATTTTACTTAACAAAGCTTCAACTGCATTCCTACTGTGGAGTCCGAAAAAGGTAGAGAGATATAAATGATACATTCAAACTGTGATTTTTGTGAACAGGGCCATCGATGCACCCCTCGGAGCTAATAGCGGAGATGAGAAACAGTGGGTTTGCACTAAAACGAAATGTACTGGGGAGAAACTTGACCGCAAATGATCCATCACAGGTAATGATCTTTTTATCAGTAAGCTGAAAATGTCTATAAATCTAAATGTGATTGCTTGTGAATTGCTACTTAATGTTTTCCAATATGCATATATCCATAGGAAAGTAAGATAGAGCAAAGACAATGCCCAAAATGTATTTTGATTTTGCTTATTATTTTAACCTAAATGAGAAATTGCTTATAAACCTATATTTTAATAAAATGAAACTATTCCTCTGCGTTTATGTGGATAAAATATCTAACTGAACTGGTGATGAGGTTGCTGGGTTTTTCTTCCTGCTAACTCACCCCCGATGTGACATTAAATAGAACCAGTGGTTAGAAGTATGTAAAAACAAACCCCTAAAAATTGTAGAAAATATTTTAAACTTAGTTAAACTATGTACTTAGTTAACTGTACATAGATCCAGAAAATGATTGAGTTTGAAGGGCTGTATTATATAGTTGATAATGTGCCATTGAAATTATAAAGGCTAAAAATTGTGGATATTTTGACCTTTCTATAAAACTCAGTTTTCTTTTTTATATTTCATTAAATTAAAAATAAAGTATTTATACTGGCAAGTGTTAAAATTCAAGAGATAGAAAATGGAAGTCATGCTGTAAACATTTTATCTGTGTTTGTCTATCATCCTTTTCCTGGAAAAGTTTCCTAATGCTGGCGAAGCAGTCACGTTAACCTCTTAGTGCCTTATGATCCACTTTGGCAAGTAGACTACAAAAATGTTTCTAATTCCCTCCCATTTTCCAATCTAAAACATCATATTCATCTACAGTGTGTCCCTGTTACAAATCTTATTTATAAATCTTTTCTTTCCTATCTGATAACGACCTTTCGTGAAATCTAGCAATTTAATGATGTCTTTGTTGACTCAGGAGTATGTTGCAAGTGAGGGTGAAGAAGATCCAGAAGTTGAATTTTTAAAGTCACTAACAACCAAACAAAAACAGAAACTTCTCAGGTAATTTAAAAGTATATATTTAATAGATTTATTTTTTCCTTATGTTTCATCTCAGTATCGTATTCAACTGTGATCTGAAGAGCTCCTGAAGGTACGTAATTCATGCATCACATTTATTGATTTATTCTTCACTCATAGCTAATACAATTTTGTCTTTCTTTTCAGTAACATGGAAATGAGTGCAAGATTGTATACTCAGATTATACCACAAAACTATTGCACTTTTCAAAGCGTTTAATTTGTAGCTGTTACTTTTCAAAAGAGATTTGTATGTATCTTCACAAACAATTTGTTCTTAGAAAACACTTTTGGCCTTTTTTTTAATGTTCGGTAAAATTTTATGAGAAATGCAGAAAGAATGCTTAAATTTAAGGTAAACGTGAATTTTGTTCAACAGACTACCCCTGAATTAAAGAATCCAAGAAATGTCTGCTGAGTCCAATAGAGGGAGCTCATGATGTTTTGAGAATCGCTGGACAGAACCTAGAGACTTATTTTCAGAATAACTCAAACATATCATAAAAACAAGTTTAGAAATTCACAACATTTTAATAGAATTGTCCTAATTATTTATAAAACAGAACAATTGTTAAAAACAAGTATTAACTATATTATTTTATAAAACCAATATTTCAAAAGTTTAATGTGTATTCTTACTCAATTTCTGGAGAATATTCTCTGGAATTTTGATAATGTAATGTTTAATATTTATATGCTGTAAAATAGTACATAAAATTAATTTTTCATCTGATTATAGTTATATATTTGCTTTTAAAGTAGGTCCAACTGAAAGGTGTGAAAGGTTATACACCTTTCACGGGTTTCTTTAGATTAGGATGACGATTTAGAGTGCTATATAATTTCAAGTTCTAACTCAGTAAGAATTTAACAAAATAGTAGTCATTACTATTGAAGTATAGTCAGAAAATTGGCTTATGCATTTAATTTTTTAATTTAATATATAAATGCCTTGAATAATTTTAAAGGAAGAAAATGAGTTGTCATTTAGTAAACAATGAGTTCATATATGGATACCTTTTTTTTGAGACATAGTCTCACTCTGTCACTCAGGCTAGAGTGCAGTGGCACGATTTTGGCTCACTGCAACCTCCGCCTCCCAGGTTCAAGCAAGTCTCCTGCCTCAGCCTCCCGAGTAGCTGGGATTACAGGCCTGTACCACCATGCCCAGCTAATTTTCGTATTTTTAGTAGAGACGAGGTTTTTCCATGTTGGTCAGGCTAGTCTCAAACTCTTGACCTCGTGATCCACCCACCTCGGCCTCCCAAAGTGCTGGGATTACAGGTGTGAGCCACTGTACCTGGCCATGGATACCATTTTTAGTAACTTCTAAGAAAATATATTATTTGTTCGTAACTTACAGTTGATGAAATAACTATTTTTCACAGTCTGTTACTATTTATTTCCCAATTACAGGAAGTTAGATCGACTGGAGAAGAAAAAAAAGAAAAAAGATCGAAAAAAGAAGAAAAAGCTTCAGAAGAGCAGAAGTAAACACAAAAAACATAAATCCTCTTCCTCTTCCTCTACTGAGACTTCAGAAAGCAGTAGTGAGAGTGAGAGTGACAATAAAGAAAAAAAAATAGAAAGGAAGAAGAGAAAGAAAAGCAAGTGTTCAGTGCAGAACAGCAGTGATTCTGAAGAGAAGTCTAAGAAGAGAACACTTCATGAAGAACTTTCCAGCAGTCACCATAACAAGGAAAAAGCCAAGGAAAAGCCCAGGTTCTTAAAACACGAGAGTTGTAGGGAGAACAGCAAACGGAGCCATTCCAATTCTGACAAAAAGTCCAGAAGCTGTAATCATAGCCCAGAGAAGAGAGGCTCTGAAAGAAATGAAGGGAGTGGCAGAAGCCACGGCAGGGATGAAAGGAGCAGGAGAAGCCGGAGCAGAAGTCCTGGTAGTTATAAGCAAAGGGAGTTAAGAAAATGGCCACAGCGAAGTCCCACTGAAGAGCAAAGTAGAAGAAATGACACCAGAAGCCATGGCGTAGATGTATACAGAGGGGGAAAAACGTACAGAGAGCACCCAGGAGATAAGCATGCTAAAGTGACACAAAGAGAATGAAGCAGAAGTAGAACGAGAAGAAAGAAAGACTGTATGTGACAGTTACCTGGGAATAAAATATCTCCACATTTTTATTAAATACCTTTAGCAAGGGCTAAATTATGTACTATTGTCTTTCTAATAAAAAAACCTCAATTTTAACTTTTCATCTCTGTAAACTGTCAAGTCAAGTACAAAACTACATGAGTACCATAAGAACAAATTTTGCAAATATTTGTAAGTAAGCTATTTTGGGACTAGAAATATTTTCTGTTGGTAACTGTTTCTTGTGCCATATACCAGATAAAAACTGCATATAACTCTGTGACATTTTCTTTGTTCTGAAACATCATTAAAAGAATGACAGTACATTGAATGGGTATAATTTAATTTTTTTTCAGTTCAAATTTGTTATTCTAGGATTTGAATTTGCTTGAAGCAAAGTGTAAAATCATTCAAATTCACTAGTATGAATTAAACTATGGATTAATCTTTAAGACTTTTAAGCCCCCTTTTGGTGTTTTTTGGATATTAGTTTTCTGTGCTGGCATACAGATTACCTCAAACTTAAAACAGTCCAACTGAGCCAGGCGCTGTGGCTCACGCCTGTAATCCCACCCTTTGGGAGGCTCAGGCGGGTGGATCACTTCAGGTCAGGAGTTCGAGACCAGCCTGGCTAACATGGTGAAACACCAACTCTACTAAAAATACAAAAAAGTAGCTGGGTGTGGTAGCATCTGCCAGTAGTCTCAGCTACTTGGGAGGCTGAGGGAGGAGAATCACTTGAACCTGGGAGGCAGAGGTGGAAGCTGCAGTGAGCCAAGATCATGCCACTGCACTCCAGTGTGAGCAGCTGAGCAGGACTCCATATCAGAAAAAAAAAAAAAATCCTGTATTAATAGTTCTAGAGGTCAGACGTTTTGACATGGGTCTCACTGGGCTAAAGTCAAGGTGTTAGTAGAATTGTGTTTCTTCTGGAAGCTTAAGGGGAAGGTATGTTTGCTTGCCTGTTTCAACTTTAGATGCTGCCTGCATTTCTTGGCATCTGGCCCCCTTGCTCCATTTTCAAAGCTAACAAAAGTCAAGCCCTTCTCACATCTAATCATTCTGACACTTTGACATTCGGCATCCTTCTTCCAATTTTAAGGACCCTTGTGATTACATCAGGCCCCCTGAATATCCTGCAATAATCTCCCAATTGTAAGATCAATGTTAATTCTATCTGCAACTTTAATTCCCCTTTTCTGTGTAATGTAACATTCACAGGTTCCAGGGGTTAGGACATGTACATCTATGAGGGACTGTTCTGCCTTCCACAAATGGCCCTTCTATTACTGGCATACAACTATTAAAGATTTTACTTCTTACCTGGTTGATCCTGCCAGTGAGGGGTTATGGGGGGAGATTTTACTTCAAATGAAACAATGCAAATGATTTTTATATTTCACCAGTATAGGTATATAAGGCATATTTAAATTTTGCTGCAAGTTTTCCTTTGTGTTTCAAAGGATACGGTAAGGGAAAATTACAGAAAGAACTGGTCTAAGTCACAAATAACATGCAGCTCCAAAAAAACATACTTCACGTCTTGGCCACAAGTATTTTTGTTATCAGTGTTTTTTTTTTTTAAACATCTGCTATTTAATACAAAACAAATATTAGATGGTTTTAATCACTGGCAGTCACAATTCCATAAATTCTGTAAGAGAGCAAATAACTCCTATTTGAAAGAAGTAAAACCACTCCATGTGGTCTGATATATGTCTTTGCCTTGTCTCTGCACACACGGAAAACAAATGTCCTCTAATTTCATAAAAATGGAAGGGGTAAGCAACCCTTGATTATTTAGATTTTTAAGATGGAGAGGGGAGGAACTTGAATCCCTTCCACAGTACTGTTTACTAACTTACAGCATCCCTCAAAGATCCCTTCACTTAAAAAGCATGCATTTGAAATTGATAACTGCTAATTTACACCTTGAGTTCATCAGTGTTGCAGTGATTATTTTCTACCTTATGCCTTTTTTGACTTTATAATTTTTTATAATGTCAAAACCTATGCAATACTTACTGCCTTAAAGGGTTTCTGAAGCAATAGTGTTCATGAAGAGAAATGCTGAAATGCATCCTGTAATTTAAAATGAATTAAATGTTATTTCTTATACTTCTTTCATTTGACTCACAAAACATGGTGCACTTTTTTTTTTTTCTTTTTTTTTTTTAAACCACAGATGAGGTCTTGCTACGTTGCTCAGGCTGGTCTTGAACTCCTGAACTCAAGCAATTCGCCTGCCTCAGCCTCCCAAATTGCTGGGATTATAGTCATGAGCCACAATGCTTGGCCAATGTAGTCCACTGTTAACTTTATATAAAGTGGCCGTGAGAATTTTTTTAGTCTCTGATTTAATTATCCTTATTGTTAGGATTGAGAAACTATACAGTACTGCCAAAAGCCCCAATATTTTTACCCATCTAATTCTGAGAAAAAAGAAATTCCATGTAGTTATGGAAGATGTTGATTTTCTGTTTGGCGTTTAGCCTTGGTTACCCAAGGGTGCTCAACAGCCCTAATGAACTAGCATTCTAACTTTGTAAACTTAAAAAACAGAAGAGAGGCATCTTTCACAGAAAATCATACCAGGATAACAAACAGGTTTAAAGAGGCTCATCAGCTAATGTGTTCCACCTAATCTAATGATGGAGAAAATAATTGGAAGTTATTTTTTAAATAAAAATATTAGGTAATTCTACTTTTGCTTTTGAACGTAAGCTAAGAACCAAGGAGATGAACCTTCTAAGATGAACCTCATAATAAATAGGACGTCTAGTATGTGTAGAGATTCCTCTAAGTACCTAAAGCTCAAGAAGAATCCTCCAGATTTAATGAATCTATGACTTAAGAACCCAAACAGAAGTCCTCACCGGAGACATTTTTTAGAAAACCAGTCTGGTGAAATTTGTCATTCTTACGCTTCATAGAGAAGTTCCTTTAAAGAAATCTTGGTACACCTACACATTTCTTATTTATCCATGAACCTGGAACTGCACGAGGCATAGGACACATTTTGCGGGTATTTCTCCCCCTGGGAAGTCTCCTAACATTTAACATAACACTAGCAAATTAATTCCTGTAGGAGGTGCTGTCGATTTATAAATAACCAGGAAAGATCAAGTTGCTAGGTTGGAACTTGTTTATCTGAATGTCTCCGTAGTAAATTAGTCCTAATTCATTTTAATAAAGGCCAAAATGGCCAGAGGTCTCTGTAGCATAGTGGCAGGTCTCCTTACCTTGCATTGTAAAATGGAGATCGTGTTTTGAACCAGAGGGCTGTAGTCTTAAGAAAGCTTTTCATCCGAAAGGCTTGGAGAGACCTTTCTTGCTGTTCCTCCATGAGACTGCTTGCTGATAGTGAATCAAATCATTCCACGCTGCTGGAAGCAGGCGTTTCCTAGTTTTAATCACTGAACACTTCGTATGCTTTGGCATTGAAGCTCAAAGGGTTCAAAATCCACCTGAGCCATTTCACTCTTCTCCTTACCTAATGACGACTGGGCCAAGACTCAGGTGGAGGCAGCTCCAGAGGACTGCAGCTCCACACCCCGGACTAAGACTAGGAAGAAAGCAGCGTTTTTAAGGCCTGAAGCAGCTGAAAGATATTTTAAAAATATTCAGCAACTGAAGGATATTTAAAAATCTTATTTAGGTTTTCTGAAAAAGAAAACCTCTCCTATACTTATCATTTCTTGAAAAGAGATAAAAACATGCAATACCTGCAGGCTTTGGGGCATTCTCTGATCGAAAGGAGAAAGGCCTTTAAAAAGTTGTGAGAACAAGTTAGACCGGGGAAAGTCTAAGGCTTGGGAAAGCGGGGGCCGCTGAGAGCTCTCCTACCTGATTGAGGCTCCTAAAACCCGGTTCCTGTTGACGGGAAAAGAAGAGGTAACTCCTCAGCACTTTCCCCCTTTCTCCTCCCTTCACGCCACACTTCACATCACCCCCAGAATGCCCAGAATGTGACAGTAATGATGAAGATATGCGAGGTGAACGCGGAGAGCTGTCTGCAATGGAAAAAAACGCACCCTCCGGCTCGACCTGCCCTGGAGCCGCGTTTCCCCAGCCACTCCGGCTTGAAGGGCTTCGCGAGGGGTTGGACAGAAGTGGAGGTCCGGGGGTTCCGGGGCTCACAGAGCGGGGCTTCCTTCCTCTTACAGCAGGAGGACATCGCCCTAAACCTAAAGGAAGCCGGAAGCGGGTGGAGAAGGGTGATGGGATGAATTCTGGCGGGAGTCGCCCCTTCCCATCCGAGGCGACGCCCCCGCTGCGTGCTCTGATGCTTTCCTTCTGGATGCGCGTCTGGCAACCTTGCGAACGCACCCCAAACCCAAATGGGGAGGCCGGAGTTGAGGGGGCGCTCACCCTTCCTAGCAGAGGCGCCTCCCAGGCCAGGAGGCCGCTTGACACCCGACCCACAAGGTGCGGCGGGGAAGGGTAGGGGCCGGCCCTCTGTGCGTCTCCCTCGGCCCCCATTGGCCCTAAGCCACCCCCCTGAAGCAATTTCCAGGCCTTTCCGCCTGGGGCTCGCCCACTGAGGGCCTTGCCAGTCCCCGCCTAAGCTTGCCGAGCCTCTGGCGCGGATCCCGCGCGCGGGTCGGAAGGCGGATTCGCCTCCAGCAGTTAGGAATGAGTAGCTCCGGCTCCACAGGTGAAGAGGGCGCTTTATAAAGCTCCTGGGACAAACAGGAAGATAACTACTTCCGTCAGCAATCCGCAAACAGAGTACGGATGGGGGAGACACCCTCTCACTTTGCATTTCCTTTATAAATAAACAAATCACCCAGAAATGGTTATTTGCCTGCAAAACAATGCAAAATCCCCAACACGGATTTCTAAAGGAAGATAGTGTAGGCGTCTTGGAAAATCTAGAACTCTTAGGGGCTGTGGTTTTCCGGGTCCTCGACGGCGGTCGCTGAAGGGACGTGTCCCCACGGACATTCTGAAACCTTTTCCTGAACTGGAGTTGCAAACACACAGTCTATATTTATAGCAACAATATATGGAGGAGGCATGTCTGTATGTATTTACCTCATACATATTTCTATACACTCCAGCGTCTGGGGAGGGTGGGGGGTAAATAACAGTGAACGGTTAAAATTATGGAGAAGGGATAATAACTGATTACTAATTTGAAAGTAAACAAACAGGTGACTTTTTCAGATCAAATTCCTCCTTGTATCGTTACAATAAATATCTCTGAAGGAAGCTCTCTATTTATGTTGTCATTGATTAATTCTTCACTACCTCATTTGATTTCGATTTAGAACGATTTGATTCTAATTTAATTAGCATGTAATTTGGATGTACATAATTACTGTAATTATGACATTCAGGTAAGGCAGCTTTAGGCTGAAAGGCAATTTCAAATTTTCTAGCAACCTACTTTGTACTGGGAAATGGACAAGGACTTTGCGCCCTGCTATCCAAGTAGTAATTAGCACATCTTTGAAATAGGCAGTGCGGCGGGGTTTGTGTTAAAACAGCAAATACAAACCCAGCCGAGTTACCCGCCGCAAAGGTGGCTACGAGTCCCCAGAAACGCACTGCATCTCCCCCGCGCGAGTCCAGGGATCCCGGCGCCCAGGCGCCTGGGCTGGGCTCTCCCTGCTGCGGGCTACGGCGCCTCCGTCGCCTCGGGCGCAGTGTTTGAAGGTGTCGCTTTTTAAATTAAAATACAATAAATACGCGCTGGAGGGTGGAGGACACAAAAAAGGAGAAGGAAGTCACTCCAGGCAGTCCGAGGACGGACTGGGGTGGGGGAGATAGTGGACTGCGAAGAGGGGGGGAAGGGGCGGCGGGGGGAGGGCAATGCACTCAGAGGAGAGAAAATTGGCCTACACCCCCAACGGTTACCCGATCTCAAATTTGGGTTTCAAAGGGAAAAGGTGAGCACAAAATGGGTTGGTTTGCTACGGGATGGTGTGCGCACCCTTCGGGGAGGCCTGGGGAGGAGGGCTTGGGGGTTTCTCGCCGCCCTCGGGGGCCCTGTTAGCCCGGCTCGGCACCAGCCTGCCTGGCCGCCCCCCACAGCCCCCTCGGGCTGGGGTGGCGGCCGTTGGACGAAGGCGAGGCAGAAGGCTACTCTGGCCCGCCTCAGGTTCCGGCTGCGAAAGCAACGGGTTCCTTGCCTTCCCTAATTGTCCACGGGGGGTGGTGGGGTGGAATGGTTTGGTGATCTGCTGGCATCGGCCTGGTTCCAGCCGGCCCTGGATGGTCCCCGCAGGCCTTGCGGGACGGAAGCCGCGGATACAGGGTCGTGGGAGTCTGAGTCTACAGCTGGGTCCCCACATCCTGGGGTCCACGTCGCCGACAGCGCTCAGTATTCTCAACTCTAAGTTGGAAGACCCTGAAGTTGCCTTGAAAAGGCTGTTAAATGCGACAATTCTAAGACCAGGGCCAAGCGGTCGCTATTTTGTTTTGTTCCGATTTTCAGTTAGCACGTTCCAGAAATGACTCTCTTGCCCAGAAGCCACTGCTAAGCAGTGCTCCCCACCCCAAGAGCAGTGCTCGTTCCCCGCTGGAACGCAAACCCTCGCGTTTCTTCGCAGGATCCGCTGGGTTGCTGCTGCCGGAGGCAAAAGCTGGTCTCCCCGCGCTGACAGCCGCGATCAGGGCAGGCAGCTGCCTTTCCGCCTGGGAGCTCTAGATGGCGCCAGCGAGCCGCACTCGCCAAGCTCCTCTTATGGGAATCAAGAGCTACTGTCAAACATAAAAGCAAATCAGAGTTTTCAGTTTTTTTAATGTGTTAAGAATGTTATTCCTTAAGAAAATTTGTAGCTAAATTATTCTCACTTAAAATAAACACTTAGTATACCAATTACACAAATGGGCGGGATTTGTGAGATTTACTTCATCTGCATTTTTGTAGTGGAAGAGAGCCTTGGTGAATACAGATAATAGATGCAAATAAGATTAGAGTTAAAATAAATAAAGTTTCCATCTGAATAAAACGAAATTCAATTTTACACGACTTGTAACGATTTGACGAAGGTCCAGACGCGCCATTCAGGTGCACAATCTAATCTCGTCAAAATAACGTTTCCCTCCTTGAAGAAAGAAAATCTTTTTTCTTTTTCCTCATCAGGTAGAATCTAATTCAGTCCAAAGTGAGAAAACGCGTCAGAAAAGGAAACGCCGGAGGTCGGTGCGGATCGTGGCTGGGTGGGCGCTGGGCCGAGAAAAATTTGGTCTTCGTTTCTCTGCTGCGCTGGAAGCTACGGGACAGGAAACACCGGGGAAACCCGGGGACTCGAAATCGCACTGTCCTCACTCTGGCCTGGGCGGGACTCTGCACCCCCAGGCCGCGGCCCCCACCCCACCGACCTCCAGGCCGCTGCCCACCTCTGCCCTTGGGTCCCTGGCCGGCTCCTCCTGTCCCCCTGAGCTGGGGAGGCCCAGGCCGCCGGGGCCCGGAGGTGGCCCTGGGGAGGCGGGATCCCACCGCAATTGGAGACCGAACTTGTGTTCTAGTTCGGGGGGCTCTCTCCTCCCACGCGCGCTGTCTCCAATTTGGTCATCCTCGCCGGCCGGTCGCCACCCGCTCAGGTCAAGGTTCCCCGCGCCCCCAGGGGCGCCTAGGGCTGGGGGAAGGGCGGGCAGGAGGCCTGGGCCCTGTTTTCGCCGGTTGGCTTCAGCCGGAGCACCGGGGCCCCACTCCCTCCGAGCTCCGGTTCTGTGCACTGCTGTCTCCCGGCTGGACGCTCTGGCCTGGACTACCGCCCGCCACTCCCAGGAGCCTGGGTGATGGACGTCCGCTGACCCGCGGGGCAGAGGCAGCGCGCACAGGCCTTGATCACTGGCCTGCGGAGGGAGCCGTGCGGCCAGCGGGACCTGCACGGCCGGGCCCTTTGATCTGTCTTTATTATCAACGAGAAACAAAGCTGCCTGAGCCCGACGCCCGGGCGCCCGCGTTCCTCGGGAGACCCACCACACCCTCTACTCCGCGCCGCCAACCCGCGGCCCCCAAACGCGCCAGGCACCCTCTGGGCTCCAGCGCCCCGGCCCGAAGCCCCTCCAGAAAACGCGCCGCTGCCAGCCGGTTCTCCAGAAGACCATCCCCCCAACCAGAGGCGCGTGGGGAGTGGTGGGCTCCCGGTTATGAACAACATGAGCCGGGAGAGAAAATGGCTAAAGTGAAGAAAAACTCGAGGAAGAAGAGCGGGGCAGCCTGGCTGCACGGTGCGCAAGGAGGAGGAAGAGGCCCTTGAATGTCATGCTGCAAACTCCCTGCTGGGGACCTTCGTTCTGTTGTATCGCTACTTTGCGACTTGGTGTTTCAGAACAGTTTCCGAGTAAACACTTTGCTGACTGTTAATAACAAGAACTTATTTTTTCCTTCCTAAAAATCAAAACTTTCGTTCAAATTCCCAAGGCGGACAGTCATCAAAAATGGGGAAAAAAATTATGTTGGTGCTGACTTCGCTTGTATTTCCTCCTGTGTGAAAAGTCTTTTAGAAATATTTTTATTCTGTAAATATGTACTTTATTTTCTAAATTAACATTTTTTCGAATTGCGAAATTATCTCATTTACCAATTTTCTTTTTGTCTCTCCCTCTTAAACTGGGGCTGTTAAGTTGGTGGTCAGAAGACAAAGAGAGTGAAAATAATTTTCATTTCAATAATTGCCTTCTGGTCAATTTAACTGTGCCTTATTTTGAAAGAGACTGTCTAAATGAGATTCCTGTCCCAAATGTGTTCCCAGGCCTGATCCCAGCCTTTAATTATTCCTGAGTTTTTTTCTTCAGAATAAGACGCCGCACTGAGTAATCACAAAGAAGTCAGAGAGCATCCTTGAACCTTTTCAGAAGCAGCGCCACTGATATTCAAATAACCTGCGAGGGCCATTTGACGGCGCGGGGACCTCGGCATTTCCAATTCACTATTTGCATAGATCAGCCGTCTTTGAAAAGGAAAGGAGCAGTTGTCTTCCATAACATTAAAAAGCCTAGTTATCAAATCAAGTGCTTAGTTTGGGGGCTTTTAAAACGTTTACATTTTATCTCAGGTTGCCCTTTACCGTTTGACATGCAAATTTGGTGCAGTTAATTTAGACAATTAAAAAGATCTTCAAGGGAGCTTTGTCACAGAGAATATTTGGAGTTTTCCCCGCGGACCAGCTGAGATAAAGTTGGCCAGAACAAATGATGTCTAGGAGATTAATTAGATATTTGATAAGACATGAATCCCTAATAAGGGAATACAAGGCACAGGGGGCTGCTGTGTGCTCTAAGTCAAAATTAATAACATTTAACAAGATTTTCATTTAGGCATGAAATGTCTTTTCCGGGGTATTGACTCTAGCGATTTATTCCCTTGAGTTGCTTCCCAACATACAGGGCCTTGGGAGCGAAAAGACTTTTTAAAAAGCGTTTTCCTTTCACAGATTGTTTTTAAATCACTTTTTAAAAACAAACAAAACCACCAGAGTTTTCTCTGACCCTCCCAGTGGTTTAGGCACCTCCCCAGTTAAAGCTGCCAAGGACCTTTGCATTTAGGCGATCCAGAGTTTTAAAATGTCACCTTTTGAGAGCCTTCACATTAATAGAACTACACGTCCTTATAACCCAATTTAATATACACTGTTGATATACAAATAAATAACTTTGACTTCTCAAAAACGTATATGTAGTATGGCTTTTGTAACCCACATAAACTTTACATTACCTAAACTAACATTAAGGAAATTTTTTCCCAACCAAAAAACAAAAACAAACCAAAAAAAATCGACCCACGAAAAGGTTATTGAAGGGGAAACAGGATTTTTAAAAAAAGGAACTGTATTGTGCAGAGTCCTTTAATAATACCCAAATGAAAATATGATGTCAAGATTTTCTTCATACAGATAAACGCATTTAATTTCTTTAAATGACCTTAACTTACGTATTTGTGAGTGAAATGATAACTCAACATTTTAAATATCTTTTACATATATACTGACTTTCACAAAGTGCATCAGAAAATTAAAAAAAAAACCTCCCTGAATTTCAGGGATTCACCAAAAAAAAAAAAAAAAAAAAAACTTTTCGAATGAACATTTACAAGAAAATAAAAGAGAACACAATCTTTTGAACCCTATTTATACAGATGTTATGAAATACAGAGAAACTGTCGCTAGACTTCCAGTTTAATTTCTCACCTTAAGCCTTTTGATGCTTCCTTTTTTAGGAAAGTCTCATTGTAAGTAGATATCAAGCAGAACTTGGAGCATTATATATATAATATAATCCACACAAAGGGTGTTTTTTATCCGTCCCGTTTGTTTTCAAATGTTCTGACAGTCCTTTGCTGGGTGGTGGCTTGTTTTTGAGAAAAGGGAAGAGAAGGGTGTTGGAGGGAGATGGAGAGTGGGGAAAGAGGGAGCCTTTCTGTGTATTGCTCTTCGTTCGAGAAGTTTGGGCGAGTGGTTTGTGTGCGCGCGCGAGTGTGCGTGCTTGTGGTTGAGGGTCTCCGGGGTATGTGTATGTCTGGGTGTACAGTTTTTAAAGTGTTTGTGTCGGAGGATGGTTCGCTTTTGTTTTCGGACCACGCGTTCGATTCTCATCTGGGCGCGAAGGCGGAGAGCTCCTGGCACGGCGGGCGAACCGCAGCCCCAGAGCCCCGCGCGGCACCACCTCGCGCCCAGCCCCGGCCCCGGGGGCGTCACTGGAGCCCCATGCCCTCCCGTCCCCCACTCGCTCGCCCTCCGAACCTCTCGTTCGTTCTCGGTGTCTCTAGTCGGTCGCGTGCTTGCGCCTCTCGCCCGGCCTCTAAGAGTCGTTGGGGCCAGACGCTGCTTCCTTGCCTCCCGCGGAGGCCGCCGCCGCCGCCGCCGCCGCCGCCGCCGCTGCAGCCGCTCGGGCGGCACTGACGCCGGAGTCATGCAGGATGAGGTCGGGGGATTCGGAACGGGGCGTCTCCAGGTTGCTAGCGTCCGTGTCACTGTCGCTGCCCTTTTTGCCCCCGCCGCCCCCGTTGTGCGTCTTAATGTGTTTGCTCAGGTGGTCGCTGCGCATGAAGCGCTTGTTGCACACCGGACAAGCGAAGCGCTTCTCGCCCGTGTGAGTCCGCAGGTGCCGCTGCAGCTCGTCCGAGCGCGTGAAGCGCTTGCCGCAGAAGAGCCAGTTGCACACGAAGGGCCGCTCGCCCGTGTGCCAGCGCAGGTGCGCCTTCAGGTGCGACGTCTTCCCGTACACCTTGCCGCAGCCTGGGATATGGCAGCTGTGCAGCCCCTTGCGCCGCAGGCTCGCCCCGGCCGGGCCCAGCCGCTCCGCCTCCTGGCAGTTGGGGCAGTCGCAGGTGGCGCGGCCTGAGTAGCGGCGGGCAGAGCGTGCCGAGCTCCCCCCGGCGGCGGCGGCTGCGGCGCCCGAGATCATGGCGCTGGCAGCGGCGGCTGCTACGGCGGCGCTGGAGTCCGAATAGGAGGGCAGCACCGGCTTGAAGCCATCCTGGGCCAGCAGGTGCTGGCTGGTGGAGAGCAGGTGCGAGGCGGCGGCGGCGGAGGAGCCGAGGCCCGTGGAGCTGAAGGCCGAGTGCGTGAGCGAGCTGAAGTCGGGGTTGTAGGTGCCCAGCTGCGAATGCAGCGAGGCCTGGGGGGCGCCCGAGTGCAGAGAGCTCTGGAGCCCCCCAGCGGGGTTCTGCACTTCCAGCCACGAGCCTGGGCTGCTGTGCACGTCCCACCACGACGACGCCGCGCCGTTGGTCACCTCGCCGGCCGCCAGCGTCGAGTGGAAGCCCGACTTGTACCACGACTCGTACGGGTGCGCCATGCTCACGCGCGGGTACAGGCCGTCGGCCGCCGTCGTGTGCACCTTGGAGATGAAGGCCGACTGGCCACCCGCCTCCTGCGGGGACACCCCGGCCGCCGCCGCCGCGGCCGCCGCCGAGTTGGAGAAGAGGCCGCCGTAGTCGCTGCTGAAGGCGGACGACGTGGGCGACGTGGAGGCCAGGCAGAAGGCGCTGTTGGCTGCGCCCGAGCCTCCCGCCAGGCCGCCCGAGCCACGGCCTCCGGTGGCCACGGCGAAACCCGAGAGGCTGGAGCCGAGGTTGCAGCTGGACGAGGAGCGCTTCCAGGGGTGAAAGCCGCCTTTGGCGAAGGCGCTCGACTCCGGCAGCGTCGTCAGCGGGCTCGTGTTGCCGATCTTGTTGCAGGTAGCCGCCAGCATGGCCAACGGGGTCGTTCCGAAGCGCGGCTCTTCCTAGAGTGGGTGGGATGGGGGAGGGAGCAAGGAGGAGGAGGGCAGGAGGAAGTGGGGAAGAAACAAAGTGCACCCGTGAGCAGCCAAGTCCCTTGCGGCGGCTCCCGGGGCGCCGTGGCTCCCCGGCTCGCGCCTCCTCCCCACTCGCTCGCAGAGGAGTCGCCGTGCCCCGCGCGGGGCAGGGGCGATCACAGGGACGAAGGTCCGGGCGCCGAAAAGTTGCTCTTCGCTGAGCCTATAAATCAAAGATGCCTCCGGTTCCCCGCCTCAGTCGCCGCAACCCTGCCTACAACCGGACTTTGGTTGTCGCTGTAAACCGGCTCCTCTCCCAGAAGACCCCAAGTCACCCTTCGGGGTGAAGCACGAAGGTAAACACAGAGACAACAAACACCAGGTGAGGGCGGAGGCGGCCGAAACAGCTGCCAGGGACCCGGGAAACTTGCAGCACTCCAGGATGGCTACGACTTGACTTTTTTAATAGAAAACGTTTGGTTTTAAAGTTTACGCACACACACACATACACAGCGATTATGAAAACAACAATCCGAGGATATGCGGCCAGCAACGTATTTCAAAGTCACGGATGAATTGGGGAGCCGCGGAAATGTAAATGTTTATTAGCCTGACTAGATGGACTGCAAAACGATTAAGACTGTTTTCTGGAAACACCTCTGTCGTTTAATTGCAACAACCCCCAAAGCAAGGCAGGGGATGGGGTATAACTCACCAGAAAAAAAGAAACCTCTAGCTTTTCCTTGAAACAAAATAAAAAAGGACTTGCTTAAAACCTTTTCTTGCAAAGGCATCTGCTGGGTTCCAAAAACTTGGGAAAAAATCAGTCCCAGAATTGTGGAAAGTGCTAATAGAAGCTGAAGCTGCAGTCCAGCAGCAACAGTTTCTCGGGAGCCGCAGACCCCAGAAGCCATAACGAAAAATTACTCCGGTTAAAACAAGCAGATGCATTGCCGCGCTGGCGACTTACCCCGAGTATAGACGTGGCCATAGCAGGTCTCTGGCTGCGCAGCGAGGCTGGGAGCGGGGCTGAGCCTGGCGGCTGCTCGGAAAAACTGGTTGGGTCCCGCGCGGCTCCGTTGTCCCCGCGCTCGCACCGAGCGGACTCCAGGCTCCCGCCGGCTAAACTCAGCCTAAGTGCGAGGAGCACCCGCTTTGAAGTGCCGCTGGCTGTGCCTCTCGCCCAATGAGGGCGCAGGCAGAGCAGACGGGAGCTGCCCCGCAGCCAATCAGACGCGCCGAGGGGCCCGAGCCCGGGCTCCCGGCGCGTGCCAGTCAAGTCCGCAAGCTAGGACTGCGGGTGGGGGTGGGCAGGGGGGCATGCTGGGGGGGTGGGGGCGGGCTGGGGACTGAAGAAATTACAGTGCAATTAAAAATTTACACACACGCACCAAGCCAGGTTTAAGTACCAATGAAACCCAGCTACAGGCACCCCCTACACACACACACACACACACACACACACACACACGCACACGCCACCCCAAGATTTTGCAAGTTAGGGTTGACAGTCGTACTCTACTCCCCACTTGCAGGAAAGGAGGCAGGAGAGGAGGAGACATTGAGGCAGAGGCTCCACCAGCAAGGCCCAAGTGGAGACAGAAATGTCAGTGCTCACTTTGTGTGTCCAGGCTCTTGTCTACAGAGCACAACTTCAGCTTTTATCTATCATTCTTGCTTGTGATTTTTATTATTTTCATGTGTCTTCTACCCAATTCTTTATTCCACTAGATTCAGTGTTACTCTCTCAGTTACACTGGGGAAGGGCGCGAAGAGACAGCTCCTCCGAGAGGAGCGAAATAGGCCTCTATGTACAGGTTTACACCCACAGATTTGTTGTGAAGTCCTGGAGCCTGCTGCATCCCGCCATTTCTCCCCAGCGGTGTAAGTGACTTCCTAATTGTCGCTCTGGCCTCTGACCCGGGGGGTAATACAAGTGCCACTCACTCTAGAGGCTTCTGGTGGTAATTGAGGGCACCCTTTGTACGGTTTCGCCAGCGCTTAGATACCAGGTTAACCCAGTTGTCAAATATGACTAAACAGTGGGATGTGCTGATTATCTGCCGGGTTTTGCTGGGGGCTGGTGTGGAGGTGGGAGGCATCAGCCCATACAACACACTGCACGAAGCCACTTATTTTCACATTGTAACAACTTTGGAAACAGAGACTGGCGCGAGCGGCGTCCGCCCCCACCTCCACCTCCGCTGAAGCTGCAGCTTGCTCGGCTGTTTGTTTAACCCGGTGAAGATTTGCATGTCGCGTTTCATCCTGGAGTGGAGTTTTCTTGTCCCAGCTCCAACCCACTCCCACGCCAGACCGCCAGGGCCTAGAGGCTCGTCTGCAGGGCAAGTGCGCCACGTTAAGAGGTGGGCTCCCCCTTAGTGTCCTGCTTTCACGGACGTGCCTGAGAAACCTTTCCAGGACTGTCACCCGGGAGGGCGGAGGACCAGGCCACACAGACGCCTCCACATTTTGCAGGCTGAAAGCATCCTGAAGTTCTCCTTGGACATTGTCAATGTGAAAAAAGGTGTCCTCAAACAGACCAAGGTGAAGCTTCGAGTCCCCCAGCAACCGCTGAACTGCTTGTTTTTCTCTTTCTGGGCCCCGCTTTCTCTTTCTTCTCCAGGGTAGCCAGAAGCTGTTTTTGAACCAGAAATATCAGCGCGCCCTCGGACAGACCTGGGCACTGGTTTTAATGTAGCACATTCCCCACTAAACCACACCCTCTTCTTAGGGGGAAAAAAAATTTCAACTATCAACCCCAAATGCTCGGGTGCAAACGACGAGTTGTCTTGGAGCGGGTGCAAGTGACAAGGACGTGGAACTGTGCCTCCGTGTTTTCTCTCCACTTTTGCAAGATCTCTTGACCCAGCACTACAACCAGAGGCGCTGCTCTCGGCCCTGTGATGGAGCCTGGGTGCATCTTGGCGCACTCCGTGGGTGGGGACTATGTGGGTCGCTTTCTTGGATTCCTGTTAAAATACTTTTGCTCAGAATGGTTTGTCTTTTTTTATTTTTATTTCTCTTTTTTAAGGTGGCGAAAGCACAGAGGAAGAGAAGGGACAGAAGAGAAGAGAACCAGAAGGCTCTGGTGGCTGTCGATGAAGCGCTGTGCCCTGGGAGACTGAGGTGGAAATGGGGGTGGGGAGGTGTGAAAAGTCTCTGGGGGACGCGGGGTGGAGAGTGGAGGAAATCGGGCCGCCTGGAAGAGCTGGAAAGCCCAGCAGGGGGACCCGGGAGCCGTTCCCAACAGGTGACTTCTGCCCTGGAAGAAGACACTGGTCCTCGGCTTCCCATAGAGTCTCCGCGTGGATTTACTAATAGAGGGATTGTTAAGTGGCAGCGAGGCGTTTCCGACTCACCCTGTGCAGCCCGTGGAGGAGAAGCGCCGAGGTTTCCCCTGTCCACCTCCTCCCCACCCCCAACACACCCTCTCCTTAAGGAAACCTGACAAAGTAATAAATAAGACAATCCGAAAAGCCACTTAGCACTAGTGACATTTTCAAGCCAACCATTTAAAACAGTCCTTGCAGGCACCTCGGGCTCCCGGCACCCTGCTCGCCTTACTCTTCTCCTCCTCCCCCTGGCTTCTCTCCCCTCCCCCTCCCGCCGTTTCCCCGTAGTTCCAGCTGTCAGACTCTAGACGTGGGCACTCGCATATTCCTTTAGATACACGCGTCTGCATCACAATAAAAGTTAGGGAAATCTTCCAAACGAATGCAGGCAAACACCCGGGCCACTTCAACTCTAAGGTGGGGCCCCAAGGAAATCTTTCGGAGGAAGTCCAGATTTTTTTCATCTGACAGATTTTTTTTTTTATCCTCTAAAAAAGTCTAGTTTTTAAACAAAGATCAATGTGTTATGCTAAAGTGTTGAGCTGACTGTTAAAACATTTGGGGAAATAATGACAATGTAACAAAGGCCTGGTTTGGAGTGAATCATCACCCTTTTAAAAGTTAAAGCAATTTTCAGGAGAATAGCTTTCAGCAAACGCTTTACATTATTCAAAACGGCCAAATAATGCTCTATTATAGCGCCTGAATGCTGCCAGTCAGCCCCTAAGTGCAATTTGTGCAAAGGCCCCGGTGCCTTATCTCCACTTCTTTATAAAGAGGTGAATATAAAACAATTTCTTCCAAACCCAGACAGAGAGCACGAAAATTGCTTCCCTTTCTGCAATCAGGGCAATTTAACTGGAGTGCAATTAGCACTATTAAATGTCGATTCTGCATAAACAAATCTGACTGAGCAGCAAAAGTGGGGTGAGAACCTCATATACACTGAAACTGATTTTTTTAAATTATGTATCCGGGTCCTTTACAATTGATCCGTGACGTTTTCATCTTGGAATATATTTACATCATAAATACACTATGGTTAAATCAACATAATTTTTTTGCAAAAAATTTCAATACGAATCCTAATAAGGAAGAATAGGGTAATTAAAGGGAAAAGTTCACTTCCTTTGAACAAATATTGTTTCTCCCATCTTGCCTCTCCCGAAAGCTTTGATCTGAGCAACTGCTCAAGTTGCTGTGTTTAGAAGGCAAAGCCAGGGAAACAATTCAGTCATTAGCTCTGATCGGAAGGATTGGACCTCCTAAGCCACAGATAAAATGCTTCTCCCTCATGCGCAGGAAGCAGAGTGGCAACTGGGAGGACCAGTTATTTTCTGAATAACTCGATATACTAGCTGGTTAAATATTAGGTGGCTACCCAGTCTCCCGGGAGCTTTAACCTGGCAGAATTTAGCAGCAGATATACGCCACTGGGGTGGGGTGAGGTGGGGTAGGGGGAGGTGAAGTGGAGTTGGGGGACTCCAGAATACCACTGAAGGGGGGGCATTGGGGGAGGAGGAATGGAAAATGCCTGCCTTGGCCAGGCTGGCTGCAGTCAGTCAAGGTCTGGACCACCGAGGCCTGGGGGGGTGGGGGGTGATGGGAGCCCAGCCTATTAAAATCTGACCTGTCCTCCCAACTGCCTTTATTTATTTCCTAAGCCACAGTGCTCCTTTTTAAATCATTTGTGCAATTAATTATGCTTTTCATTTGCATGATCTTCACTAGAGCAGTGATTATCAGGTCAGCACGGTGTGGGAGTTGGGGAGATACATTAATAACTTGAGTTAAAAAAAAAAAAAAAAGGAAAAGCTGCCCTTGTGTACACACGTTGCCCGCCATGAGCAAGGAAGAAGGAAGCCCAGGAAGGTCCATAGTGCCTGTTGAGTCGGGTGAATCCTTCCCACAGTTGGAGTCTTGTCAGTGGGTAAAATGAAATACAGCCTTTGATTAGAAGGGAATGTTTTATAGTTAACACATATTTATTTTTTTTTAAAGCACCAGTTGTTGAGATCAAATGGATGGAGAAAATTAATTGAAAATCAAGAAACTCTCCCACAGTTTCTGTTGAGCTTTCATTTTGTATTTGTTTTATAATGTCCTAATTCCAGCCCAACCCTTGCAAATGAAAGAGCCAGGAAGAATCAATAGGCCAATGGGATTTTCATCTTTTTTTCTGTATCTCAGAGGCGTCACTGCCATTAGCAGTGGTAGAAGATGCAAATCTTTCTTGCCTCTATAGGGTCTGCTGAAGAAATTGAAAACCCCTAGTCTATTAAGTACAGTCCAAACGTTTGTTACACAACTAATTTTCTGCTGCTAGGTGTATCTGGGCCATATATTTTAAGCTTGCCCCGATCTGTTTATCTGAGCCAAAAATGCATTAACAATTAAGGAAAAGGCTGGTGTGTCAAAGGAAGGAAGGTGACTGTAGACTGTGTGATGATTTTAATGACTGCAATTATTGGAAGATTATTCAACAAGCATCATAGATTTGTTTACTGCATCACTCGGAAACTATGGGGGGCCTATTCAGCTTGGGGTTTTACTTTCCTCCCTCCCTCACCAACTACCACAGAAGGGTTAGACCTAAGCAAATGCGGCATTCTGTAGTGCCTTTCTTCTTTTTAAGAGCATCTCTACCAAAGTGATGCACATGTATTGTCTCAGCCAACTCTAATGGAACTTTGGAGATATTAAAGCAATCTTTTCACACAGACTCTAATATCAAGAAAAGCCAGAGGCCAGAGGATTCTGATCATTAGTCAGCTTCTCCTAGCTAGGGTACCAGTTTCCTCAGTTTTAGCCTTTCAGAGGCAGGTTTGAGGAGGCTTCCAACTCTTTCCTCCTCCCTCCAAGGCTTGGAAAAGGCACTACAACCACAAGATGTTAAACAAGAGTAGGCATACCTCCAGAACTCTCTTGGATAGTCTGGCTTTTCCTTCCTTGCCGTTAGCACATCCCTCCCCCATGGTTATTTCCTATCACAACTCCTGATGTTGCTCTGTTGAAAATAAGTTAAAAAAAAAAAAGCATGGCTAAAAGCATATCAGTTTGTAACTAAGGAAGTTTTTACTGTAAATACAAACACAGGGGATGCAAGTAAGGAAAGTTTCTTCTCTGATATTAACAAAATGATCCTCAGTCCACAATAATCTATAAATCGCCACATGGGCTTTGCTCATTCATCAGTGACTGATTTAGAAGGGAGATTGGGGGAAAAAAATGAACAGCAAGTAGCCCCACTAACACCCCCTTTCTTCCCTCCCCTGCAGAACTGAGACTGGAGTGACTGCGCCATCTAGACTTTCTTCCTGGGTTCTGTAATTGCCCAACCTCAAGCCTTAAGGTGGACTTGGCTGGAACCTTCCCTGTTCAAATATGAGCCTGCAGGATTCTGCAAGTGGCAATTAGGAGCCTACTACAAGCCATTAGATTGATCAATGTACCTTAAACAATGCGAATGATTTGTATGACTGATTTATACGGGAAGAAAAAGAAAGCAGTGGGGGACTATTTCATCTCCTTTACATCCGCAGGCCGTTCTGGAGAAGAACCAGGCCTAGCCTCTGGTTCATCATAGCTTAGAACCACCCAAGCCATTTATCTAGAAAACTTTTCAAGCAAAGACAAGGTCCTCTCAGCTTGTCTGGTGGGTGGCGAGGTGCACGTTCTCTGCCCCTCTCTCTGCTTTCTAAGGAAGAGCTTAGAAAGACCAAGGCTCCGAGGGGTAGCCGAAGGTCACAGCGGCGCCACTCTGCTAGCCAAGGACACCACCCGGAGCAGGCCCAGCTGCCTCCTTCCCTAGAGTCCGTCCACAGAGAGGGGAAGGACGACTTACATATTTGTTAAACGGAGTGTTGGAGAGCTGCGTGGCCTCCTAATTACGTCAGGAACACAGAACCATCAGCCCTTGAAGTTTCCAGCGAGACTTCGGGAGGAGCGGCGACCTGACTCCGGGCGCGAGATGACGCGGGGGGGGGGGGTAGGGAGGGAGGGGACTCCGCAGAACAGAACTCCATGCTAGGGCTGGCGGTTCCGGCTAATCTGTCTGGCGAAGACAAAATTACAACAGAGCTGGAGCGATCAAAGCTGGCCCCCCCGTCCCCATCCCCGCCCGCCTGCCTTCCCTGCCCAAAGTCTGTTTGTAGTTGTCTTCTCGGCTGCAGACACTCGTCCATCTTCTCACAACAAGGAAATTCCTGCCAGTTTTTCCAGAGCCTGCAAGGAGAGGACAGACGCACTTCACCCGTCCCTGAGGAGGAGGATTCCCTTTGTTTAACCTCCTCCTTCCACAGTCGGCCTTCAGCTCTGAAATGGGGGAGGGGGACAGGGGATGGAAAGACCCTGGGCGTGGAGGGGCCATTATAACAGAACCCCAGGTCCAACTCTGCCCTGCTGGTCCCTCCTCTTCCTTCTTCCTCTTCTCTTTCCAAGCTTCTTCCTCCTTCCCTCTCTCCCTGCCGCCCTCCTTCCGATCTTCTAGATCCTCTTCCCACCCAGGTCCTCTCCCGAGCTCGCGCGCCCAGAGCCTGGGCAGCCTCTGTTTATTTCCTGGCCTTCGTAGTTTGGCGGGAAAGGGCTTCGTCCTGGCTTGTTCGTGTCTGGGACAAATCCTTTTGTTTGTGTTTAAATGTGGAATGGGAAGCCTTCCAGGTTGATAATGGGGCGCAGAGAGAAGAGGGAAAGAGCAGAGAAGCAACCTGCGTGTGTCTTTTGTAGCCACTATGCAATGGCAGCCAAGGGCTTGGAACCCCTTCCAGATGGATCATGATTTCACACGCACACCCGGGTGTGCTCATCTGTCTTCTATTATCCATATTCCACTCCCGGGTTCTTTTCTAAGTTAGTTCCTTTCAGTTCTCTCCTTCCTAGAACCTCTCTTCTCAGAACCCTACAGTTCAGTGAGAAGGGGAGAAAAAAAAGATAGGTTCTAAGACTCCTCTCGAGGACCAAGGCACCCCGTGACATATCCGGAAACAGGCCAGCCCTGGGCCCACGCATCCATGCTTTCTTGATTTCTGTCACTGAACGCAACCCTGACAGTGGGACTTCCCTGTCACACCCATGCACTTCCAGAGTCCGGACGGATGCCCTCCGCCCAGACCTGCTTCCTGGAACGTTGACTGGAGGGTATACGTAGGGGTAGAGGAAGGCTCTGCGCACTTTAGACACGTGCGCCTCCCCCTCACCCCGCTGCCACATGCAGAATGTACACTTATGACAAACACACACTTACCCGGGCACATGCCAGCGGCGTCCATCCTCCTTCCCAGGCAGGCATCAGCAAGCGAGACGGCCTTGAGGCAGGTGCCATCGCTGCAGGAAGGTTGACTCCGAGCTCCAGATGTCTCCCTGGGAGTCGGGACATTCAGGTCCCCCAAAGCCAGATTTCAGCCTCCTGGGCCGGGTGGCTGAAGACCTTACCGAGGCTAGGCGTCCCCCTCTGCCTCCCGCTGTGCTCCAGCGCTGCTTCCTGCTCACACCACCTTCGCCGCCGCAACTGCCGGAGCGCCCCTCTCCGAGAAGCCCTCTGCCCGCCGCACGCAGCCCATAGGCTCCGCTACATCTGGGATGCATTGCCCCTTAATTGTCAACCCTATTATTGTGATGAAGTGAACGTTGCTAATCTCTACATTTATTATTTAGGTAAATAAAGGCTGCATTTAATCAATATTCAGGACCCCAGCTCTCGCAGCCCCAAGTAACTTAAGTCAACGGTGAAGATTTCAATGTGTTCGTAATCACAGAGCTCGCGGAATCTTCGCTCCAGCTCAATTCCACGTCTCTTCGCCGACCCGGGGGAGAGGCAGGAGGGAATGCGAGGAATCTCCACCCTCCAAGGGGTCGAGGGCCGGCTCCTTCAGGGCAAGTAAATGACTTCGTGGCGTTGACACCGCGCGCCAGGTCCGCGCCTTCAACTGAGCGCGCTGCGAACGCGGGGGCCTGAGGCGGGGCTGGGAATTGCCCCCGACTTCCCAGCGGCAGAATCTGGCGCTCCGCGCCCCCACTCTACCGCTTCTGGACCCCTCCCCTCCCAAATCTGCCTCAGGGAGGTGGGGGTGGTTCCCCATTTGGCAGTCCCGCGGCAGGCGGGAAAGCGGGGGCGGGGCGCTAGAGGTGGGTTGCCCCAAGTTTCCTACGCCCCCGGCCCCAGCACGCAGGCTCCCTCTTCTCCACCCCAGCTACGGGGAGCAACAGAGTTCCTTGCCCCGGGGGAACTCCCTAGAATGCTACGCTTGGGCGTGCAAAGCGCGGGTTATTTTGCGCTTCTTCTTAAATAGCTATAGTTTCCTAATTTAAGGGGACCTTCGCTGGGCAAGAACCTCAGGGATTCACAGCAGGGGGTGGGCAGGTCTGGGGAGGTGGGCGGTTCGCTCCGGCTTGTCAGCTCCTTAACGTAGCTTGGCTGCAGGAGTGGTCACAGAGTGAGGGCCTCTGGGTCTCGGCGGGGAAAGGGTTAGCTGAGAATCTTCCGGGCAGCGGCGGAAAGAACCCGACCCCCCACACACACCCTGGAGTAAGGCCCAGGAAGCTGATCCTCAAGTTTGAGATGCCAACACTTCTCTTTTGGCAACTCCGTCGTCGGGAGTTTCTCTTTCTTCTGGTGCCTCTTTCTCCGCTCCATAGGAATGGAGAGTCCGCCACAAACAATCAATAACTTCATTTGTAACCAGATACCCGCCTTGCATGGAATTGTCCGGCTTTATATAAGCAAGATTCTAAGGTCAACTCATCATTTGCAAGTTTAGAGTGCCATTGCAACCTCCCAACTAAATTACAGCTGAAGTTTGAAAAAAGGACCCACGGTATTTGATGGCAGCTGGCTGTTTTTAATTTTCGGAATTCAAGAGTTTTCGTATAAGGTACCTCTCCCTGCTTTCTTCTTCCCTTAAGTTGAATAGCATTTGGAACAAGAGGGAAATGAAACACAAATGTCAGCGCAATCCCGAAAAGCTTTGTGTTTGTATTACTACATTCAGAGCCTCCCCTCTGCCGGGCCCAAGCTACTCCCAAGCCTGTAACCCCACTCATCAGCTAGGCAGACCTTTTTACCACTCCGCTGCAAACCAGTGCGGACTCTGCCTCTACAGGACAGATGAATATGGTGTCCGACTCTTTTAATTGGGAATGTCAACTTAAAATTTTCTGGGTGGCAGTTGTTTTTAAGCTAGGATAAGGAAAAGAAAGGCAAGAGAGCTAATAGCCAGAGTTCCTGGGTAAACACTAGCCCTTTGGAGGTCTCAGGAGTTGGGTGTGAATTGAGACCCACTCTTAACAGTGCTGTGACTTTGGGCAGGCCTTGAAACTTGTGTTTCCTTTTCTATAAAATGAAGCTAATAATTTCAACTCTGAAGGATTGTTATGAAGGTTAAATAAAACTATATAGGGAAATTCCTAACAATGTGCTCAATACTTTTTAATAGTTGAGCTAAAAAAGTTCTTGCCTTCCATTTTCCAGTGAAATAGCATTCCCAGCTAAAACTTACTGTGAAACTAAAGGCGCTATCAAACAGAATGTTAGTGTGTGTGTGTGAAGCACAGGGCCTAGTACAGAAGCAAGGTTGGATGAGGATGCATGCAATGACAGCTTGCAGCTGTCTGATTTGGAAGGAGTAAGGTTAGCTGCTCCAGTCAGCAACACATTTCATGGTCTGGCTTTCATAGTTCTGCAGGAGGGGAAGAGGAGGTCTTGTCTCTAAAAGTAATCGCTAGTATTTATTGATCATTTATTACATACCAGGCATTCTGCCAAGTGCTTTACACACAGCATCTCATTTAATCCACACAATAATCTTAACCAGGTATTACTGATACCTTTTAAAAACTTTTATTGTAGAAAGTATCTGCTGGGCACCATGGCTCAAGCCTATAATCCCAGCACTTTGGGAGGCCAAGGCAGAGCATTTCCCTTGAGCCCAGGATTCGAGACCAGCCTGGCAACATGGGAAAACCCTGTCTCCACTAAAATATAAAAATTAGCTGAGCATGGTTGTGTGTGTCTATGGTCCCAGCTACTAAGGAGGCTGACATGGGAAGATCAATTGAGCCTGAGAGGTCGAAGCTGCAGTGAACCATGATTGCACCACTTCACTCCAGACTGGGTGACAGAGCAAGATCCTGTCTGAAAATTGAAAAAAAAATCAAATACTTATTTAGAAGTAGAGGTAACATTTTAATGAGCCCCTCTATTTCCATCACCCAGTACCAACATTTGTCAGCTTATAGCCAAACTTGTTTCATCTCTATCCCATCTATTTCCTCTTCCTTATTTTGAGGCAAATCTCAGACATTATATTATTTTATTTGTAAATATTATGGTATATATAAAAATGTCAAAAAATAACACCAAAATCCTCCAAAACAATGTTATTCTATAATTATACCTAAACACATTTGAAATAATTCTTTAATGTTATTAGATATCTAATCAACGTTCAAGTCTCCCCAATTGTCTCATAAATGATTTTTAAAATTTTTTTCAAATCATATTTAAACAGGCACATATAACATTTAGTTAATATGTCTCCCAGTGTCTTTTAATCTATAGGTTCCTCTCTCTCTTTTCCTTTCCTTGCAATTTATTTGTTGAGGTAAGTCAGTCATTTGTTCTGATATCCCCCTCCCCTACCCCCACCCTGTTTTTTTTTTAACAGACAGGGTCTCACTATGTTTTCCAAGCCATCTCCAGTTGCTATTCACAGGTGGGATCATAACTCACTATAGGCTCAAACTCCTGGCCCCAAGGGATCCTCCTACCTCAGACTCCCCAGTAGCGGGAACTACAGATGCATACCACAGCCCTTGGCTGATATTTTCATATTTAAAGTATTTATTTATTTAGAAACAAGGTCTCACTCTGTGGCCCAGGCTGGAGAACAGTGGTGTAGTCATGGCTCACCACAGCCTTGACCTTCTGGGCTCAGTGGATCCTCCCATCTCAACCTCCCAGGTGGCTGGTACTACAGGCACATGCCACCATGCCCAGCAATTTATTTATTTGTTTGCTTTTAGTAGAGACAGGGTTTCACCATGTTACTTGCTGGTCTTAAACTCCTGGGCTTAAGCAATCCTCCCACCTCAGCATCTCAAAGTGTTGAGATTACAGGTGTAAGCCACTTTGCCTGGCCTTAATCTTTTTATAAATAAAGAAACTCAGAGAGGTGAAAAAAATTTAGTAAGGGATAGAAAAGGAATTTAGTCCAAGATATGACCAATTCCAGAATCCAAGCACTTAATGGCTTTATTATATTCACTTTAAATCAAGTGATGAAAACCAAGAGAAAAAATACAATCACTCATAAAAGATTTCAGAACATGCATGACTCACCCAAGTAACCAGTTCCTTCACCAAGTGCTCATGGAAAACTGTTCACTTAAAACCCAGGCAAGGCTTGAAATGCGGGAAGAGAAATTGAAAACAGAATAACCCAGTGTCCACCTTATGTTTTGAATCTGACTAAATAAATCCTGCATACAAATATATCCATAACGTAAAAGAATTTTTACTTCCAACAAATATTTAGCAAGGCAAAAACATTTCTTAAACAAATCTATCAGTTTTTTTCTCCCTTTTCCTTCTTTTCTTCCTGTTCTTCCTTTCCCTCTTTTCTCTATAGCTAAGATAAGGAGGAAACATCTTTCAAGCAGTTATTTTTAAATACTAGTCAAATTAACAATTTGGTAGTTTGATATGTGATACCTGGGCTTTTGTTATGATAGTTTTGAAACCACAGTTACCCTAGCAACTGAATACATTTTTTCTTTAAAAAAATTTTTAGCTGTCTGAAGGAGAAAAAAAAAAAGAAAAAGAAAACTTCTTGCCAGAATTTTCCCATAATAGCGTCCATTAACTGCAGTGACTTCTATTGGAGAGGCCAGCACTGCTGTCTCCTGCTGTCACCAGTCATTCACTGATCTAGCAGATGTTTTGTTTGATAAGGCCAATTTGAGCTTTATAAAACATTTATTTTTTTCACCTCCAAGGAGCAAATACCGGTAAGGATAGATTCAACATCGATCGCTGGATACCGTACAAGGGCCTCAACCTGCCAGTGGAGCTTGTAGGTAAGAAGAAAAATTTAGCAAGAGGCCAGGCACGGTGGCTCATGCCTGTAATCCCAGCACTTTGGGAGGCCAAGGTGGGCAGATCACCTGAGGTCAGGAGTTCCAGACCAACCTGGCTAACATGGTGAAACCCCATCTCTACTAAAAATACAAAAATTAGCCAGGCATGGTGGCACATGCCTGTAATCCCAGCTACTGGAGAGCCTGAGGTGGGAGAATCGCTTGAACCTGGGAGGCAGAGATTGCAGTGAGCTGAGATTACACCACTGCACTCCAGCCTGGGCAACAGAGCAAGGATCCATCTCAAAT